TATATATAGACTTCTGCATTGCAGATGTCCCAGAGCCCTGCAGTTCTCGGGGAGCAGCTGAGAAGTCCCAGCCAAAATTTAGTCTCCCCGACACACACAGACACACACACACACACACACACACACACACACACACACACACACACACACACACACACACACACACACACACACACACACACAGGGCTGTGGGACGCAGACTGACTGTGCAGCACAGGACGGGACACTTCCAGCATGACAGCGCCTCCTCACTGTGTCAGTGAGTGTACATGTACAGCAGGCTGCGCAGAGCACGGCTCAGCAACGTCCGAGCATCACACTGCAGCAAGGATGAAGTGCCCCCCCCCCCAGAACAGAGTCAGAGCTCTGCAGTCGGAGTCTGTATGTGGGTGGGTGTGAAGGTTTTCTTCTTGTCACGCTGATTATTCTGAACCAGTTTTGATTTTTCTAAATTCTTGTCTTACTTTCTGCTTTTCAAAGAGTTGCTGAGTCATGGCTGTTTTTTGTTTTTTTTAAAGGAGTTTCAGTTTCATAACTTAAAGGACGGATATTGAAGAAGAAGAAAAACTGGCTTCATGATCATTCAGTTTATTCTTTTAATAAGTCAAAAGGAAAGAGTTGTATTCAGTCATCCAGGTGTCAGTCAGGGACAAATAAAGGATTTGAAACAGAACAAACGGCACATTAACATCAAAGGTTGTAAATAACAATAACAGCTAAAACACAAATTGAACAAATAAACAATGAATTAAAAGTTATTACTGTCAATTTATATTATCAATTAAGATAAGATAATCCTTTATTTATCCCACAACGGGGAAATTTAGTGTTACAGCAGTTACAGCCCTAACCCCAAAGAGCAAAGATTGCAAACAAAAAGTGAACACAGTACACAATTTAAATTTAAAAAAAAGAAAAAGAAAAATTTAGAATTTACAAAAAATATGTAGATACCACAATATAGATAAAAAAAAATAGATCAGCTGAGCGCTGCAGTTTTGACAAAAATGTGTGACAAATGTGACAATTGAGAAATAATCAGTGCAGAGCATTCCTTTTTTAAACGTGTCACATATATACTGCACTTATAAGCCAATACACTTACAATAATAAAAACATTATAGAGTGAGTGAGCTAAGGTGACAGATGTATAACCGTCTTGTTAGTCGTTAACGTCTTTATTTAAACATAATAAACATCACCTGCACAAGGTCGCATCATCTCTTCTCAGTGGTGCTGCAATGACCTGATGAGTCATGAATCTGTGTGCACCAACTGTGTCCTCTGTGTGTGTGTGTGTGTGTGTGTGTGTGTGTGTGTGTGTGTGTGTGTGTGTGTGATGTGAGCAATCAGAGAGCGAGAGAGAGCGAGAGGGGGGCATTGGGGGGGGGCTTTATAATCGTTATGGTAATACCAAATGTTATCCAATAACAAGCCTCAGGTGTTGTAGATTGTTGTCAGGGTGGTGCAGATGAAACAAGAGTTAGAATTAACTTCTATGTTGAATTTCTGCTAAATTGATGTGGCTGTCATATTTATGTTACTTTGTTGCCACCTGCTGGTTAAATAGCGTAACTGCATAGCGTAGCTGGCATTCGTACAGCAGGTACCTCTGCAAAGGAAATCTCTCCAGAGCTGAGGATGTGAGTCCTTTGCAGAGCTACAGTACTGATGACTGTGTGCTGTTGATTTGAACTCCAGCTCCAGAATAAAAAAAGAACCAGAGTGAGAGCAACTCCTGAGCTGTTGTGGCGTCCGTCCTGCACCAGAGGTACAGACACACACGCTCTGGAGTCCAGCAGGTAAACAAAACCGGTGACACAGACTCTCTTTTATTCACTGCTCGTTGTAGTTCTCAAGTTCGGTCTGCAGCACTCGTCTCTGATTGTGCAGGAAGTGAACACGACATCGTCGGATCTTATTGAACTGTTGTATTCAGGCTGCAATGCTCGCCCACCTTTCACTGCTGCTGCAACAGCGGTAGGCCATTAAGTATTTATAACTGTTGGCTGCTTTCAGGCCACAGAGCTGACACACACACACACACAATTACAGTGAGCTTTTACTGCCACTTGGTGTTAAAGGGGAAAATTACAGGTTGTGTTACAAGAGGGAGCAACACAGTCGACAGCAGCTCTGATCTTAGGGTCTGATCTTAAAGTTTATTTTCCAGCTTTTTGTGCCTTAATTCTAGAGACAGGACGGTGGACAGAGTCAGAAATCAGGAAGAGAGAGAGTGGGGTTTGACATGCTGGGAAGAAACCACAGGTTGCCCTCCTGGAGGACAACAGCCTCAGTACATGGGGCGCAAGATAAAGACTGTTCTGTTCAAATCTAAATGAAACTTAAAGATGATTCCCACCCTTTAAAGGTCACATATTATTCTCCATGTTTCTCTAACTCTAATATGTGTCTCTAATCCATCTACAAACCCCCCAATGATGAGAAAAGTCCATCCTCTCTGTCTTTTACCTGCTCCACTTTTCAGAAAATGTGTGCTCAAACAGGCCGTTTGGAGATTTTCCCTTCATGACATCACAAAGGGCAGTAGCCCCTCCCCCAGGTGGGTGACACTCCCACAGCTAGGTGTTTGTTCTGCCCTCTGAGTCTGCCTTCTCACTGTAAACAATAGGACATGGAGCGAGAAAGACCGAGACACCCAATCCCTTCCAGAGAGGGGGGCGTGTTCAGACACAGCTCATTTACATATTTAAAGGTACAGACACAGAAACAGCCTGTTCTGAGCAGGGCTGAAATAGAGGGGTTTATAGACATGATCAAATACAGGATCAGAGTGGATTTAGAACAAGAAACTTCACACACATGTTTTGAGGAGCTCTGACACTTATTTAAACTGAAGAAGAGGAGGAGCATATGTGACCTTTAAATGTTTAGATGTAGGTATAAAGAACCATCCTGTGAAACTAAATAAGAGATACAAAAACAGCTTTGTCCCAGTGGTCAATCAGAGAGATGAACAAGGCATAATACAGCAGCCATGCTTTCAGAGCATTTTTAGATTAATTATAGATTAATTATTGATCTCTGCACTTTTTATCTTGTCTTTCTTTTATCTTGTTTTTACTCATCATGTTTTACTGATTGGTGCTATATTCTTATTTTTTATCTTGTTTTTACTGATGGGTTACTTTTTGTTTTTTCTGAGGGGCTCCTCTCTTAAGTTTTGAGCACTGTTGTCACTTTGTCATGTTTTGTCCTGCTGTGCTGTCGACGGGTGTGAAACAGGCCCGGATCAAGATCAAAATGACTTAGGGTGCATCTGAGATTAAAGGGGGTGCAGCAGCTACAGTGACCAGCAACAGCAAAGAAAAATAGCGTAGGTGTTTACAGTATGTGACCATCATGTGAACAGACAGGTCACATGCACCCAGTGGTGATTCAAGAGTCTGTTGGGGCCCCTCCAACCAGTGTTCATCCTCTTCATCTTTCTTTGTTGATTTTCTTTACTTTTTGTCCATTTAATGGAAGGTGCAGAAATTTAAAATGAGGGTGCTATGCATGATTTTGCAACCTCGTAGAAGGAAACCTGGTGTAAAAGGAGGCCGACTCACTCACTCAGTGTAAACCACATCGACCTACAGGTACAAATAAAGTTACCTTAGATGAACAAGGTTATGTTTTATTTTGAAACCTTCTGTCGTGTATTTAGCAGCAAATAAAGACTCATTAATATAACACTAATATAACTTTAAGATCGATTGAGTATTTAATGTTGTATTTAAAAAAGATAAAGTTAAAATTAAAAGGTCTGACTCAAGGTAGCGTCAAACAAATCAGCGTTTACACAGTATAGTCTACACCTCCCATGACGTCAGAGGACTTTGATGACGGGGTCAGGTTAGCTAAAATACACAAATATACACGGACACTACACCTTCAAAATAAAAGCTCAAATTTTCATTTATGCAAACGAACGTGATAAACTACTGTATTCAAGACATCTTTTAAACAGATGAACAACATAAAGTAGTATAGACCCAAAGTATTTTAGAAGCTCAGTTTTCTTAAATATTTTCTATATATATAATCTCAGGACGGAGAGCCCCTGAAATCTTCCTGAGTTGCTGTTTGTGATCAACGAGCAGCTCAGACTGAATTATTCTCATGTGTGAAACACCATACGGGAAGTTCTTAAGACTTTGCATCCTTTAAAACACAATATTTCACAGTCTGATGACATTTAAAAGTGTTGTTCATACCTGTTTTATCTGCAAGAGGCAGGAATTATTACAAATGAAGATTTAAGATTTTACTTTATTGATTCTTTATTGAAATTTCATTTTTTACACTCTGTAGTCATGCAACACACACATAGGCTGAAGTATATATATATATATATTTACACACACATGCAAGCATGCACACAAACAGGATCCTATGGACATGCAGACTAAGGGAGAGATGTCAGAGTGATGGAGCGGCCCACAGCATGGTGGGGAGGGGGTTTGGTGCCTTGCTCAAGGGCACCTCGGCAGTGCTTGGTGATCTCTCCAGCTACCAGACCAACTTTCATGCTTGATCCGCACCGGGACTTGAACTGGCGACCCTCTGGTGCCCAACCCAAGTCCCTACAGACTGAGCTACTGGTGCCCCGATATGAAAGGTTCCTATGTTCAGTACATTTTTGAGCTTGACACTTTTTCCCCCTCACAAACGCATCTAGATAATTTCAGAGGGACTGCCCCTGACAGGCTGGATTCAAGTGCCCCGGAAGTCACATACACACCAATTCAAAAAAGCCAGTTTTTACAGCAGAAATTAACATGTTTACAAATTGCCTTTGCACCAGGCAACCGTACAGTGTTATGTGTCAGTGTTTATATCAGAGGCTGTTTATCCTCTGCTGGACCGGAAGTATACCCACAGCGGTGGTACAGTGTACCACCGCTTTATATTTACTTGTGAAATAGGAGGAACATCGTCAGACTTTTAAAAAATGTAAATACCGCTGACTTTATTTTGAAAACCGGAAACGACCGTCACCTCTGAAGCCGTCTGACTTGACATACACGGCGATCTTCGAGGGAAAAGTGTTGCTGTAAAAAAAAAAAAACACGACTATAAGCTGAGCAGGAGCTCTGTCAGCCCCCCCCCCCAAAGAAAAACAAACCGAGTGAGAGAACCGGAACCGCAGCAGGACCGTCTTCTTCTTCTTCTCGGACAGGAGCAGCAAACATGGCGGAGCTGAGGCACCGAGGAGCCAGAGACACCGAGGACAAGGTAACGTCAGTCAGGACCGTCTGATGCTAACGCCTGCTAGCCGAGGAGGTTTTGTAATATTTTATCACTATGATGTTGTTCGTATTGGTGAAGTGAATGTTACGTCATACTGACAGAATAACCCCCCCGATGGAGGAAAGGTCAGCTTGAACTGAGGTGTTTACTTTCCCTTGTTTACATAAAGACTCGCTGTCTTATCATCCCTGCTGTCTGTGCAACATTAGCTTAGCTTGTCTGACAACATCTGTAATAACACCTGCAACAGGACAAGACTTCTCTTTGAATAGATGTTAAACAAATGACAGGAAATGTGTAAGCGCATCATTATCCGTTATTTCAATATGGACGGTAAAGTTGTGACCACGCCCCCCGGAAGTGCGCCGAGCGAACGGTGAAGCCAATTTGACATGGTAGCCAAACCTGGTATTGCAGCGTCACAAAAATACTGCTTACCATAAGGTTACATTGGGAATGAGATTTCTAAAAATCAGCAGATAATTTTTTTTTTATGTATATCAACTTCCTGCTACGAACGCTTAAAGATGGAGTCTGTAGCTGCTTTAAAAAAAAAAAACGGTGAATATGACAGTAGTGATATAGCAGTAAATAAAATATAATGACAGTGAAGAGAAACACCAAGTGGATAAAGCTCGTTCTAAAACGAGGGTGAACCTTGGTCGTATCCGAATTGCCAAGCACCTACTCAATCTGTCAGTAGGCAGGAGGCAGTACCTACTATCCGTGCCGTATACTGTTTAGTACCTACTATTCAGTATGCACGCACAGTAGGCAGATATTTGTGCCTACTTCTTCTGATTCATTCAGTAAAGAAGTGACGTCATTTACGTTTCCTGAACCGGCTGCATCCACCTGTTTTTTTTTTTGTTTTTTTTTGTTTATCTTTATTCAAGAAGAGTAATGCACACATACAGTCAGGTAAACAAAACAATATCACAGTGTAAATCAAGTAAAAGACGGATTAAATAACTAAATAACATACAGTAGGCTACATAAAGAAAAGTACAAATGAAAGACAGTAATATACAGAATATAAAATAAACCAATAAAGACGCATTTAAATAGTTAAATCATTATTTAAATAGAGGGGGAAAGGTTTATAATAATGCAGATATTTGTTTTATTTTCTGTTGTTAATTTAAAGTAGTGATTTCAGTCGGGACTTTAAATTAAGATTAAAAATTGATTAAATAATCCACGCTCGTTTGTTTTGATTTCGGACGTGAAGTGACGATTTACGTTTAATTTCGCACAGCATTGTGCGTGGTAAAACAATTCATTTCCTGAAAGCACGCATCCGATCCATACTGCATGAAACCCGGAAGTTAGTATCCATACTGAAATGTTCAGTATACTGAGGTGGACCCAAAAAATACATACTGAATGACCACGAGGGTTCAGTACACTGAAACTCCATACTGAATAGTACGTACTGCATACTGAACTGTGACAATTCAGAAAGGACCCTTGTGTTGTCTTGTACCTGTGGACGTGGAGTTGGTCTACTTCCTGTTGGACAGGAAGGTGACAAACACCGGCGGTTAGCTTGTGCTAGCATGCGTTAGCTTGCAGTGTAGGTACAAGCAGTAAACATACACACTACGTCCTGCAGGGGGCGATGAGCCCAGAAGGAGGGGCCCAGTTTGAATGTTGTGTTTACAAACTGCAGCGACACCTGAATGATGTGAAATGCAATTGAAGCTGAATTCAGAGTTATTTTGTAGACATAATGAACTCAGATCAGAGATTTGGGACGTGACTCAAAGCGTGCATGCTCTGTGGCATTGGTTCCCAACCTGGGGTCCGGGCCCCCCGTCCAGGAGCACCTTAGATCTCAGGTACACAGCAACAGTACGGCAGCTTTCAGTTGCAGCTCACGCTTCCTTATGAAGCAGTCTTTGACGTTCGTTGACATCCCGTGTTTGTGACTTGTCGTGGTTGAGATGGCGTCCTCCAGGACAAGACACGTCCCATTACGACCATAAAATGAAGGATTCCTCTGGCTGTGATAGCTGATGGAAATATTTCAGGTCATGTAAGAACTCAAGAAAAAAAATATATAGCAAAGGTCTAGTCAATTTTTAATTAATTCAGATATTTTATTGTGAAAATTTTAAATGTTTTGCATCATCAGGTTGTGTCCAGTTAAAGACCAGTTCAAGCTCACTGTCTCAGACTGGTTTTAACATGTGGTGGTCTTCAGTTGTTTGACTCAGACCAGGTGCTGCGAAACATTCACAGCCGATGAACTGAACCGCCCCCCCCCCCCGGGTCGTTACCTCCGTAAACATCATTGTCCTTCCTCTCGTCGCTGGCCGATCGTCTCCTCATGCTTAGGAGATAAACAAAACAAAGACACTCTGGGTTTCCGCTGAGAGCACGAGAGGGGAGGAGTGAATGCTGAAAGGAGCGCTCTATTTTTAACTCGAGCATCCTGAATGACGGATATTGTCTCCATGGAAACCAGTAGGCGGAGAATGGCTCTGTGTGTGTGTGTGTGTGTGTGTGTGTGTGTGTGTTTCTTTTGCATGCTCCTGCATTCATGTGCTGGGTTTCTTTCACTACTGACAGATGTTTTCTTTTTGATAGTGTGTCGGACAGTATCAGAAATAGTCTTAATTCATTTTTTAAAAATCCTGCAGAATTACTCGTCTTGCGTTCATGTTGCTGCGTCAGTCCAGAGAGACGGGGTGACCATATGGGGACATGACCCCTGTGTTGATATAACACTCTTCAGGAATCACTGACTTTAAAGAGGACATATTATGAACATGATGAACAAATGAAGATTAAAATAACGGTCTTGCTTTCGAGGCAGAAAGGAATGAGAGTAGATTAGTAACATGGAAAGTGTCCCACTGCAATGATGTTGAATTGTCTCACTGTGAAAAACCACAGCGTGAGACGGAGCGGGCGTCAGACGACAACTCAGGGCCTAATTTGGTCAGCAGCAGCGCGGAGGTCAGCGGGGGGGGGAGTGAGAGGATGATGAACTGAAAAAACCCTCTGTCTGTCATCAACAGACGAGCTGTAACTGTCTGATTGTTGTTGCCATGGAGATGCAGAGATAAGTGTTTTTATATCAGGCCTCTGTCATTAAACAGATGCTACTGAGGAATCAACAGTATGGAGGAGATTTTGGCGCTCCACACACATTAGCCGCCCACTCGCAGGCCGGCTGCTTTTTCTGTGTGTTCACTGAGATCACATCTACTCAATTACATCTGTATCAATTAATTAAAGAAAATACATGGTTAGTAACGAGTTAGAAGAAAGGTCTGTTTTTACACCTGCACAGGACGGATCCTGAAAGTCTCCTGACCAGGCTGTTCACACATGCACCTCACTGCGGGAGACGGGAGGGTTGTTGGGGGCTCGCGTTTTGAGAGGCGATTAGATTCTAAAGGTGGACAGCCTGCGTGACTCGCTGGAGAAGTTAGTCCTTAAAAACGGAGACTGCTGGAAGGCTGAGCTCGCTCCAAAAACCAAAGAAATCCCAGATAATCTGGACAAGAGTTTAACCTGAACCCAGGCTGTCCACTTGGAGGACCACAGCAATCGTACATGGGGCATGCACATGCGGGTACCGATGCCCCCCGCTGCTCAACAGGTGTCCCACACTGACATGATTCTCCTTCTGCAGAGAGTTTCTGAAATAAGGTGGAAATTCTTCAGGACATGTTGTGAGCGTTTACTGTGCAGCGGTAAAAATATACACTGTGCTCCATGTAACCTAGATACCACATCATGTGATGTAGAAAAGACTGTCCCTCCGGCGGGCGCCATTTGAATAGTGTTTCTGTTTACTTCTGTCAACTTTGTTTATTTCTGTTGCTGCACAGGAAACAGATAAACATGTTCTTATTTAGTAAATGTTCCTCTGTTTGTTTGTTTGTTTGTTTGTTTGTTTGTTGTAGGGCTCTGACAGCGAGCTGAAGGTGGAGAAAGATGGCGTGTCAGACAGTGAAACCAAAGTGGACTCAGGGGTCCCAGATGTCCAAGTCCCTGCTGATGACACGCCCGAGGTTCTCAACAAGGCCCTGTCTGGACTCTCCTCCAGGTACCAGCACTGATGAGGAAGAAATGTTAGAGACATACAAACTGCAGACTGCGGTTTCTGATTGTCCACCTGGTCTGACCTGCTGATACGGATTAAGCACCTTTAATTTAAAGAAGCGATAGCAAAAAACTTTTCTTTTAACATTTCTATTCTTTTTATGATCATTATAAAACGCCAAACAGTTTATTACAAATTAAAAAATCTTAAAAACCGGAGGGCCGGTAGCCTAGTTGTTAGTACGCGCCGCATGCCCCATGTCCAGAGGCTCAAGTCCTCTAAGAAGACCTCCCAGGTTCGAGTTCAATCTGTGGATCCTTTCCCTCATGTTGTTCCCCTCTGTCTCTCTCTCTCTCTCTCTCTCTCTCTCTCTCTCTCTCTCTCTCTCTCTCTCTCTCTCTCTCTCTCTCTGATTTCAGTCCATTAGATGGTTTTGTTATCAATCTGTGTTTTATTAAATAAACTTAAATAGGCTATAGAACTGAAATGTGTGTGTGTTTTATTTTCCTCAGATGGAAGAATTGGTGGGTCCGAGGCATCCTGACCCTCGCCATGATCTCCTTCTTCTTCCTCATCATCTACCTGGGCCCCATCGTGCTGATGATGATTGTGAGTACCGACCACACAGATGATGATTCACACGTCCACTTCTGAATATTTCTAGAAGATTTCAGGACAGCCTGCTTCTGAAATATTCCCAAATGTTGTTGTATCAAAGCATTTTAGCATGTTTAGTGCCTCAAGCCTTGTGTCTGTAAAGCCGTATTCACATCTTCACTCCCCTCGATAAGGTCACCAGCCCCTCCCACTTGTTTGAGGTGAATTCTCCTGATTATATCCTGCTGCGTTCTCACGTCAGCTCACTCTGACTTTCTGCAGAATAAATATTCGGCTGTTTGCGTTCACACAGCAGCTCCTGGGCTCCTCTCCTCTCCTCTCCTCTCCTCTCTTGTCTCTCCTCTCCTCTCCTCTCCTCTTTTGTTTCTCCTCTCCTCTCCTCCGTTTCCGTTTCCAGTGAATGTGAGTGTGAGTGACGGTGGTGGTGTTGCGAGTGTCGCGCAGATTGAATTGTTTGCTATCCTTTCTACTGTTTTCAAAGTGCACGATCAGGTCAGATTGTTTTCATATTTATATTGAGTGTTGTTGGCTGTGTAAGACAGATCGTTGGAGGGGTTGGAGGGAGGAATGGCGTCTGCTGAGATGCCACCTCCGACTCCCCGACAGGGAGTTCGGATAGTCCCTCCGAACGGTACTGTCACCGTGGAGGAGGTTTTGTTAGCTGCAGGTGAACAGGTAGGTCATGATAAACTTTTGTATGCATCCCGAATGAACAAGGTTGTGGTTGTTTTTCTGAAGAGTGAGCCTCTTGTGTATCAGCTGATTGAGAGTGGTGTGTTCATTAGGGATTTGTTTGTACAAGTTTCCCCGTTGTCAGTTCCCTCTACGCGGATCACCGTATCCGGTGTTCCGCCGTTTATTTCTAACGACTTGTTAGAGAACGAGCTCCGCAGATTTGGGAAGTTTGCAAGTGGTTTCAAAACTGTGAGTCTAGGGTGTAAAGATCCCAAACTGAAACATGTTCAATCTTTGCGGCGTCAGGTGTTCATGTTTTTGGAGTCACCCACACAGACTCTGGAGGTTTCCTTTCGAGTTAAACACGGTGATGCTTCTTATATGGTGTATGCGAGCTCGGGACAACTGAAGTGTTTTGAGTGTGGTGATGTGGGACACAAACGTTTTGCGTGTCCGCACAGACAGCAGGAGGTGGCTAGTGCGGCGCATGCGGCGGAGGCCGCGTCCGCGCCTGGTGCTGAGGCCGTGGCTGAGGTAGAAGTGGTTTCGACCAGCTCTCAGGCTACAGAAAAATCACAGACTGTAGATAATCATAAAACTGAAGATTCCACAAGTTCTGCAGTTGTAGATGTTTCATTGAAGGAAGGTAAGACAGTGTGTTGTAGCCAGGCATCATGTGAAGGAGAGGACATGGATGAAGATTATGAGTCAGACAATGCATCCATTGCTGATTTGCCAAATTGTGGCTCTGATATTTATTCTTTAGAGTCAATCAATCAATTTATGGATGAAACGTACAAAAAACCAGTAAAAATAAGTGACTACTTTGGCACTCTAACTACCATGGCACCAACTTTAGTGCAGGAGTAGCCATTTTGTTTAGAGCATCTGCAAATGTAAAGATCGTCTCTTGTGCTGAAATTGTAAAGGGAAGGCTTTTAATTGTAAGAGCAGAAATAGAGGACACTGTTTTCTGCTTCACTAATATTTATGCTCCAAATAATGGAGCTGAAAGGGTAGCTTTCTATACCCGCCTCCAAAAGGAGTTACTGATCTATAATCAGGATCAGATCATTCTTGGTGGTGATTTTAACTGCACACTTGATTTCACCGTGGATAGAATAGGAGAGGAGCCACATCCACATTCATCCCAGACTTTAAAACTGTCATCTCTCACCTGGATTTGTTGGACACATATAGAGTGAAACATCCACAATCCAGACAGTATACATGGGTCAGGGTTAACAGTAACAGGGTGTGTGCAGCTAGACTGGACAGGGTTTACATCTCCAGAACTCTCAACCCCAGATTAATTCATTGTAATATTCTGCCTGTCGGCTTCACTGATCACCATTTTGTTAGTGTGGAGCTGATTATTTCACCAGGTGAAAGGGCTAAGTCCTTCTGGCATTTTAATAACAAGCTTCTACTGGACAATGTTTTCTGTAAAAACTTTGGGTGTTTTTGGGATCAGTGGCAATTAAGAAAAGTTGAGTTTGATTCTTTGAAGCTTTGGTGGGAGGTTGGTAAAGCTCAGATTCGTGTTTTTTGTCAGCAGTACACGTCACACTCTTCTGCTAGATTAAAAACAGTCATTAAAAATCTTGAGGACAACATTAAGAACCTTGAGGAGGGGTTAAATGGGAGTGTGGATCCCACCGCTGGTACCCTGCTGAAGGAGAAACGTATGGAGTTGAGCTCTTTCCTGCAGGAGAGGGTGAAGGGAGCTCTTGTGCGGAGTCGTTTCCTTCAACTCAAAGACATGGATGCCCCAACGTCTTTCTTTTTCAATCTTGAGAGATCTGTGGCTCAAAAAAAGCTGCTGACTTGTCTTAAACTGCCAGGAGGTCGAATAACAGCTGATCCAAAGGAAATGAGCAGTCACGCCATGCAGTTCTATGAGGATCTGTTTGGAGCAGAGAGTTGCAGCCAGGAGTGTCGCGGGGAGCTCCTGGAGGGTCTCCCTCAGCTCAGTGTGGAGGAGAGGTCTCTTCTGGAAGGGGAGCTGTCTCTGGAGGAGCTCACTGCTGCTGTCACTCAGATGGCAACAGGAAGAGCACCTGGAATAGATGGGTTGTCCACAGACTTTTTGAAGAGGTTCTGGAATATTCTTGGGTCTGACCTGCATAGTGTTTTAATGGAGTGTTGCAGGACCGGGTCTCTTCCTGGTTCTTGTAAGAAAGCAGTTCTTTCCTTGCTCCCCAAGAAAGGTGACCTGGCATTGTTAAAAAACTGGAGGCCGGTTGCTTTGCTCTGTGTGGACTACAAGATCTTCTCCAGAGCTTTATCGAACAGACTAAAGGACGTTCTGGGAAGTGTGGTCCATAAAGACCAGAGTTACTGTGTTCCAGACCGGACAATCATGGATAATGTTTTTCTTATCAGAGATGTCACTGATGTGTGTAAAATCTATAATCTAAATGTTGGCATTGTGTCTCTGGATCAAGAGAAGGCGTTTGACAGGGTGGATCACTCGTATTTGTTTTCTGCACTGAGGTCTTTTGGTTTTGGGGATGGTTTTGTGTCATTAGTTGGTTTGTTGTATCAGGATGCACAGTGTTTGGTGAAGATGGGGGCAGGGTTGAGTCGGCCAATCCCTGTACGGCGAGGGATCAGACAAGGTTGTCCCATCTCCGGCCAGCTGTACAGCTTGGCTATTGAGCCCTTGCTGTGCAGGTTGAGGGGCCGGCTCAGCAGGCTTTCTTTGCCCGCGGCCTGTAGCATCGAATGTCCCCCTACAGTTTCTGCCTATGCTGATGATGTAAACATCTTCATCTCCAATCAGGGGGACGTTCGGTGTCTGCAGGACACCCTGTCCCTGTATGAAAGGGCAACAGCTGCATGGGTGAACTGGGAAAAAAGTGGTGCCTTATTGGTGGGAGAGTGGAGGGACCAGGCAGTGCCCAGTCTGCCTGGTGGACTTGAGTGGGGGAGGGAGGGGTTGAAGGTGTTGGGGGTTTATTTAGGTACCGAGGACTTTAAAATTAAAAACTGGGAGGGAGTTAGGAGAAAGTGTGCGCTCGGTTGTCTAAATGGAAATGGTTGCTACCCCAGTTGTCGTATAGGGGAAGAGTTCTGGTGGTCAATAACTTGGTTGCCTCGACTCTCTGGCATAGACTTGTGGCTTTGACACCTCCAAGAGGGCTGGTGGAGGACATTCAAAGGGCCATCCTGGACTTCTTCTGGTCAGGCAAACACTGGGTCCAGGCGGCAGTCCTCTACCTGCCAGTGGCTGAAGGGGGACATGGACTTATAGACATTCAGTCAAAAATTGCCTCATTCAGACTCCAGACTGCACAGAGACTCCTTTTCACTTGTGGTCCCAGCTGGATGGACATCGCTCGACTGCTGCTGAGGAGAGCTGGACGGCTGGGGTACACTAAGCAGCTCTTTCTGTTAAAGCTTGAGGAGGTGGATCTCACTGGATTAACATCCTTTTATATGTCTGTAATGCAGGCAGGGAAAATGTACACATTCAAAAGGAAAAAACTGAGAGTCTGGGAATATGGATCTTTGAGGAACCATTATTTTTTAATGATTTCATAAGGACTCCAACTTTGCAGTCAGCCAGTCTCCGGGCCAGTTTCAGAGAGGCAGGCTGCACAAAACTGGGTCACCTGGTAAGACTGACCCTGGACGCCCTCAAAGAAAGGACCAATATCACCTCCAGCCGGGTGGTTGAAAGAGTGGTGGAGGAAGTCTTTGCTGCACTCCTCTCCTCTCCTCTCCTCTCCTCTCCTCTCCTCTCCTCTCTCTCTCTTCTCTTCTCTTCTCTTCTCTTCTCTTCTCTTCTCTTCTCTTCTCTTCTCTTCTCTTCTCTTCTCTTCTCTTCTCTCCCTCTTCCTCTCCTCTCCTCTGAAAGACGACAACTCTGGGATTCACAGGCTCTCTAATAACATGCAGGATTTCTGCTCATGTCATTAGGGAATCCCCTGAAAATAGGTCTGTCACCCATTTTGTGTCACTGGGATGTAGGACACACACACACACACACACACACACACACACACACACACACACACACACACACACGTTCAGTTCGTTGGGGGGGAGGGGGTCCTGTTCCTGGTGACGCTGTGTTCCTCTGTGCAGGTCCTCTGTGTTCAGATCAAGTGCTTCCAGGAAATCATCACCATCGGTTACAGCGTGTACCACTCGTACCACCTGCCCTGGTTCAGGACACTGAGCTGGTGAGTCTGCACACACACACACACACGCACACACACACACACACATTTCCACGGTGTTTACAGGTGTAATTAAACATCTTTTTTAAAGTGTCGTCTCATGTTTTACTTTGTTTCAGACTTCCTCAGGTTTGTTTTTCCGACCTATTTTAACCTCCAGTAGTTTGTAGATTATTTTCCCCCGATCAGCTTGATTGGCAAACGCCCCGTGATTGGTCGATTGATGTTTGATGTTAGCGACAGTAGTGTTCAGTTTAGTGTGATAGAAACTAGTCCTGACATTCACTAAGCCTTGATCCGGAACAATCAGATGTTAACAAACGTACAGTTTTGTCTTTCTTAAAACACTTTTGAGGCAGAAAAATAATCATCTCAAGCCTCATCCACACGAGGGCGGTGATTTAGCTTTTTCATGGCGTTTTCATGGCGTCACCAAACTACCGCTGGTGCTAATGATGCTAACTGGACTTTGTACACACTCACACATACACACAGTTACTCTCCCACTATGTTGACGAGCAGAGATGCCTGATTGGATGACGGAGGTCCAAGCTGCTTCAAACAACACTCCCACCACTCAGACCCCGCCCCCAACGCCTGGGGTTTTAAACGAGACCGGGTCAGACTTCGGGTTGGTGGGTTAACTTTGTAAAGAGGAAGGAGAACATTTTTGCATGTCATCGTTGTTGACTTGGCGTTCTCATGACCGCCGTAGCAGAGCGTTTTAGCGTTTTCATGTAAACAAAGATGTTATTTGAGAACTGAGCGTGTGTGGACGGGGTTAATTTTTTTAAAACAGAGGAGGAAAATCCCCCGTGTGGACTAGGCCTCAGCCTTCCCCGTATTTTCTCCGATCATAGAGAACGAGTGTCTGATTGGCTGTTGTCTTGGGGGGCGCGTGTTCATTTTAACCCCTCTCTAAATCTCTCTCAGGTACTTCCTGCTGTGCGTGAACTACTTCTTCTACGGTGAGACGGTCACAGATTACTTCTTCACTCTGGTGCAGAGGGAGGAGCCGCTGCGCATCCTCAGCAAATACCATCGCTTCATCTCCTTCGCCCTCTACCTCACAGGTACCGACATGAAACCTCCTAATGTCCTCACGGGGAAACGGCTTCCTGCAGGGAAGGGCTGCGTGGTCGACCGTTAAAAAAATCACGATCAGGATTCATACAAACATTTCAAAATGGCGGTGATTGATTTGCTCGTTGCGGTTAGATAGATGGGTTCTTTATTAATCCTTTGCAGGAAATGACATCGTCACAGCAGCAAGAAGATACCACACAGAAAAACTAACAAATAACAAAACAACAAAATAGACAAAAACTAAATAAACTAACAAACACCATTTAGAGCAGGGAGCGGCAACTTAGGTCACAGCAAGGGCCACATTCATTTAATTCTCACCGCTTGAGGGCCAAACTGTACTATAGAAAAACGATTACAGTCTCAAATTTAACTCAATTGTATTAATTATTCTGGACATATTTCTGGTTTTCATGATTTCATGGTCATGTTTTCTTCATGTTTATTAATTAATGGATATGTAAAAATTGACCTGAGGGCCACGTTGAGGGTTGGCGGGGCCACATGAGGCCCCTGAGCCGCCTGTTGCCCACCCCTGATTTAGACACATAAACACTAAGATCAGTTTTCATTTTTAAACTAGACTAAAACTACAAACTTCAGGGTTATAAATAAAAGATATACTACAAATGTAATTAACCTTTAGTTTGCAAAAGTATCCAGTGTGCAGAATCGAATAAGAGTATTCATAAATATAAATAAATATGAGTGTGTATTTATTATTCTCCATGAAACAGTCTGATGGCAGTTAAGAGGACTTCCTGTAACGTTCAGTTCTGCACCTCGGGGTGATCAGCCTGTGACTGAACGGTCTCTGTTGAGTCACATCGAAGGTGTGTAGTGGGTGTGTAGTGGGTGTGTAGGGTTTCTCAGAATGGACTTAAGTTTTGAAAGTCTCTGTGACCTGCTGAAGGGTTTCTATTTCAGACCCAATGATGGAGCTTTCCTTTATCACAGGAAAGAAAAAAAGAAGGGGTGACACTCAGGAAAAATGAGAGTGACGCAACTGCTAAAGTCTGTCTCTACTTCGGTGCTGATTTCACTTTATTCAGTGTGTGTGCTTCCTCTGAGCTCCTCAGCAGCAGATACACAAGGAGCATCAATTAACCACAGAGCAGATTGAGCGGGACAGGAAGTCAGACACAGAAAAAAACAAAAAAAACATCCGGTTTATTTTCAGAATAAAACGCTCCGTTTAGACAGTTTAGAACAACGACCTATGTGTGTTAGTTGAAGTGTTTATAAGAGTTTGATCCTCTTAACTCCAGCTGTCGGGCGGTGCTGCTCCGTGCTGCGCTCTGAGAATGCAGCCTGTGGGCTCATGACGGACGAACAAATCAAAAATCAATCAACAGAGATCATTGGTGGTATCTTTGTGTGTCTGATTGTGATTATTTCCTCTTGTTTTGAATAACGTCGCTGACTGTCATTTCATTCTCTGACCTGCAGGCGCTTTGCATTGTGGGAAACAGAACGAGAGGGAGACTGGTCTGATGTAGATTTTTCACCCATCAGTAAAACATTTAGTATTTTTTGGGCATGCTGCAGATCTCACATTCGTCCACACACTGCAGACCAGATCAATATGTTCTCCTAGTGTAGGAGGTGGTTTCTAAAACAGCACTGTGTCATGTTTTGGATGCAGGACCATCTGAGGGTCTGAAGCTGCACAGTGTCTACAGAAATATCTGCAGGTTCTCTGAGCCTTCCTTTGGTCTTAGACACTGTAGACCCAGACGGGGGTGTGCATTTTCTTCATGTTAGATTCACTCTGCTGCATCAACAGTTTTTAAGCGCTAAGACGAGAGACGTCGGATGTTTGTTACCACAGACTCTCGCCCAGCTGCACCTGGGCAAAGGTTTTCAAAATGACCCCTTTCTGCTCTAAAACGACATTAATCACATTACGGTGCAACAGGGAAACCTAGTAACGGAGGAGGGATTACGTCAGCAGCAGATTCATCAAATCAAATGAAGACACTGATGCAAACAGAGGAGGGATGATGTTTGCTGTGGGAAGCTTCTGCTGCTGAGACAAGATGGCAGCCGGCTGGTCTCAGGAGGAGGAGACAGAAATTAACCAATCAAAAAAGGTTATAATCTTCATGTGTGCAGTGTGTGTGGTGAGATTCTTCAGAGGAGTCTCCGTTTCCTGTGCCGTGCAGGTTTCTCAGTTTGTAGTTTCCAGTCTCTGCAGCTGCTGACTGCTGTCAAAAACAGGATGTGGAGAGGAGGGAAGCACCCTGACTGTTTCTGCTTCTTGACTTGTCAGATCTCAAGTGGTCTAAGATAATGGTCTGGTACCGTGAAGAGAAGGGAAACAACTCAGATGTGCAGAGTTTTGACACATGATTCTGTCCATGTTACCTGCTTTAAACTGCTTTAAAGAGTAAATATGTAACATCTTTTGAAGAGCAGCTGTGTCAGCAGTCAGTGAAAGCTCTTTCTGTCTGCCCTGCCACATCCTCTCTTCACCTCAGTTTCTCACACACACGTCTCCAGCAGGCCCTGCCCACTCGCTGCACATTAACTTTTGTCTGAAGTATAAACTATTGTAACTAGTATTAAACTAGTAACTAGTGTAAACTATATTCGCCTGGAGTTTTGACTAAAAGGTGACCGAGATACCGGCTTAATGAACCTCCCTCCTCTGAGTGTTTCTCATGTTGTTGTCCATGTCGTTGCAGGTTTCTGCATGTTCGTGCTGAGTTTGGTGAAGAAGCACTACCGTCTACAGTTCTACATGGTAAGTGCCCCCCGCCCCCCCTGCTGGCCCCCCGCCTCAAGGCTGCTGCTGGGTTTTTGATGCGGAGAGCTGAAGTATAGGAGAGTGTGTCTGGAGAAGTGGGCCAGAGAGTGCTCTAAGGGTGCACTCACACCAGGCAAAGTTTCCCCGTACCAAACTAAATAACAATTGCCCCGCACGTCCCCTTTTTTATTTTATTATTTTTGAGCTCGTCGGTCTTGTAAACTAAGCACGCTTCATGATGATGTAAAGCCATTGTTGTGGAAATATTTCAGTGAGAATATGAAGACCAAGATCCAATCATCTTTGTGAGGTTTTAGAAGTTGCAGGAAGGAGAAAGTGTGTAACATGATGAGCACTCTGCAGAGATACTCAAACGAGAGAGAGACTGAAGACTCCTTTTAAACATGTCAAGGAGGAAACAACAATATAGACAAGCTCTGTTGTAGGAGATAAGCAGTTTAACACAATAAACCTAAACAGAAGAAGCCATCCTTGTAGAGATCAAAGGTCATGCAGAAACCTCTAGACTAACAAGATGTTTATTGGCCAATTTAACCTAAAACAGCATTTTTTGAAATGTCAGACAGTTCACCACAGAATTATTTTAACGCATAAACTAAATCATTTTTTGTTCCATTACACCATACATGTTTTGTATTAGGAGATTATTAAGAGCTAACCATGCTGAGACCCGGCTATCTTCTTACCAAATCTCCAGTCTGTCAACAAGTACTGTTAAACACGGTGTATAAGACGCACTTTTAATACCCTTTTTTTTTTTCATCTTAAAAGTTGGCTGTTCTTAAACACCCGTGCAAACAATAAACCAGAATAAAATGCAGACACACGCCGTCATCACCGTGGGTCAAGCAGCCACCATCACACACTGAATGCAGCCTGACACCATTAAAAAAAACATCCCCATTCATTGTGTATTGAAAGCTGATACTCACTGTGCTTGTCATACTTTCACCTGCTGTGACCGTTAATTTATAAAGGCAGATAATGCACTTGATTCGCAGGTCACATTTGTCAAAAAGAAGCTCGTTCATATCTGTCAGCATCGAGCTTGAGCTTTCAAAAAAGAATAAGTGTCAGTTTTATTCCTTAGAAAGAAAACACCAATTCCAATAGGTTATTTGCTGCTTGTTTTATTTGTGAGAATTTTCAGTCAAAACATTTTTTTTTGCTTTAATCCCTGTAATCATGCATTAACCTCTTCTGATTGAAAGAGTCCTGTATTAAAGATAAAGAGTGACCAGCGGAGTCAGAGAGCTGACTAGCTAGGAGTCTGTGCTTCACAACTTTCCCTGCAGGCTGAGAGCTCAACTAGCGTACTGTAGCTGGTAGGAGTTCAAACTCCACAAAGAGAAAAAACAGACGGAACTAAAAGAGCGACATAGAAAATTATGCTGAACACGATAGAAATCATCACACAGGAAGACAGTTTAAACCTTTTTTTCTCTCTCTGAGTAACCTTCCAAACAGACTGCTTCTTATATTCCAGATTTGAAGGTACTTCCGCGGAGATCCGCCTCATGACCTGTTTTGTCTCCACAGTTTGGGTGGACCCACGTGACCCTGCTGATCGTGGTGACTCAGTCTCACCTCATCATCCACAACCTGTTTGAGGGCATGATCTGGTTTGTAAATCTCCTTTTTATACATTCTCCTCCCTGATGTAAAGTTATCTGTCTCGTGGTGCTGTAACCGTCTTCTCTTTTGTGATCAGGTTCATCGTGCCCATTTCCTGCGTCATCTGTAACGACATCATGGCCTACATGTTTGGCTTCTTCTTCGGCCGCACCCCTCTCATTAAGGTCGGTCTGATCCGCTTTTCTTCCTAATCAAATCTCACAAATTACCACCCGATATTTGACCAGTCTTCCCGTTTCTTGTTTGGTTGTAAATGCTGCGGCCCGTCTGCACTGTGTTGACTAAAGTGTGGACGCAAGAAATCCCAAGCCCTCCCCCGCCTCCATAATTGAGTTTGAAACCCCTGATTCTAAATAATAAATCCAATATCCGCCCACTCATGTGTCCAGTCATAGTCCGGCCTCCCGATGAGGCCTCATAATGAATTGTATGTTTGTATATTAACCTGCTGTCCACACCTTAACCGTCTCCTCTGCAGCTGTCACCCAAAAAGACATGGGAAGGATTCATTGGGGGGCTCTTTGCCACCATCGTGTTTGGCATCATGGTAAGATTGGACTTATATAAATATGTTTCTACAGTTTCAAACCACATAAAAGTATTGACATTCTCGCTGAGACATCAAAGACCTCCTGTTTGAGAGAGAACCGACTCAACCACTGACCCCACAGCCGCCCACCAAATCAAGCTTAACACATATCCTTCAGCTGCATCGGCTCTCATGCTGAAATAATTGGCATTACCTGCTCACTAGTTCACAACATCAGAATCAGAATTGAGGTTTATTGCCAAGTACATTTACACATAAAGGAATTTGACTTGGTGTATTGGTGCTAAACAATTAACAAGGAAATAAAGCAGAACTAGCAACAACTTAAATAAAACAGGATAAGAAGATATTACAATATATAAAATAGAATTTAAAAAAATGTAAAAAATAAAAAACACAAAATGTACAAAAGGTGAAATGTAGGAGCTGTGCAGTGGACTATGAGGAAAAAAACATGCAAGAGCAACGACTTCATGCTAACAAATAACAAAGCATTAGCTGCTGAAAGAGATATTTTTGGGGGGTTAGAGGTCCCTCCAGGACGCTGCTACAACAAAGTTTAGGATAACGAGGAGTTTGCTCCTAAAGCTTAGATATGTTTGGGAGTAATTACAAACACAAAATCAATATTACTGTATTTGTGTGTATTAGTCATTTTTGAGTGTTTATTGCATGGCCTTGCGGAACAGTCTTTACATTTCACTGCACATCTGTATGAGCATGTGACAAATACAAATCTTGAATCTTGAATATTGTTATTGAATATTTGGTAGCATTGTTGTAGATTTGTCCCTGCCCGGCCTGCAGGTTTTCCTTTAGCTTCTTAACCTGAAGCCGTCTCTCCTCACAGCTCTCCTACGTCATGGCCGGCTGGCGTTACTTTGTGTGTCCCGTGGAGTTCAACAACGACTCCAACAGTTTCCAGGTGGACTGCGAGCCGTCGGAGCTTTTCCAGCTGCAGGACTACGCTCTGCCCAGTGTCTTGGAGTCCCTCACAGGATGGGTAAGAAGACTCAGCTTCCCTCCCTCCTGCTCCGTCATGTTCACTGCTGTCCCTGAAACACTGACCCCCCCCCCCCCACTTCCTGTCTTCACAGACCACGGTGCGCCTCTATCCGTTCCAGATCCACAGCATCGCTCTGTCCAGCTTCGCCTCCATCGTGGGACCTTTCGGCGGCTTCTTTGCCAGCGGCTTCAAGAGAGCCTTCAAGATCAAGGTAGGAATGAAGGACAGTGAGACTAAGTGATAGCGTCAGTACTGTGATGTGCTTTGATGGCGTTCTGTTCAGAAGAGGCGTCTGACCACGTTGTCTTCTTTTGTCCCTTCAGGATTTCGCCAACACTATCCCGGGTCATGGTGGCATCATGGACAGATTCGACTGCCAGTACCTCATGGCCACGTTTGTGAATGTCTACATCGCCAGCTTCATCAGGTAAACAACGAGACCATGTTCAATGGATGGTGAGGGGGATTAGAGGGTCAGCTTGGTCTGCAGAGCCATAAGTCAGCTGGCTCTCTTTTAACCCGGTCACCATGGCAACGTGCTCTAAACTCATCCCCTGGTAGGTATCAGGTTACAGCTTCATATAGGTTGTACCGTGCTGTCGTTGTCGTCTCCTGGACTGTTCTCGTCAGGCTTCATAGTTCCTCAACTTGTGATGTCATGTTTGTAATGCCACCGAATGACGCCGTGCAGTTTAAGTAAACCTGTTCTGATGCACTCAAGACAACTGCCTCCTGAAATCCTCCTGATCTCCGTCTTCCCCCCAATCACCACATAACTCTGTGCACGCTGCGGTCTGTCATCTTCCATCACTGCAACACCTGTTGGTTTGACCTGATAACTGCTCTCATATCAGGAAAACCGAGGGGCGTCCAAAACGGGCGTGTGTGTGTGTGGGGGGGGGGCCTTAAAAAGTGTCAGACAACAGAGTCCACTACCCGGCGCTATAATGAGAATATGTCTTCATATCGATGTTTAGTCCAAAAGAACAGAGAACTGGCAAAAGGTCAAATCCTCGATCGTCTTGGATTTTAAAGATGTGTGTTTGATCGTTCTCTCTCCTCCTCTCAGGGGCCCAAACCCCAGCAAGGTGATCCAGCAGCTCCTGGCCCTTCGGGTGGATCAGCAGCTCCACATCTTTAACTCCCTGAAGACCCACCTGACAGAGAGGGGGCTCCTGCCGGCTCTGGAGGAGGCTGCCGCCTAAGACCATACCCCCACACACAAGCTCACCGCAAGACCAGAGAGGAGGGCGGCACCTGAGGGGGGGGAGGGGGGCCCTGTGCAGCTTTGGAGATTTTTTTTGCGAGACTCACAGCGCTTCGAGTGAGCTACAACTCATCTGAGAAAAACGGGGGGGGGGGGGGCACTTTAAAAAAACCACAACCTTGGGTCATTCCATTTGCTGCGGGTCTGAGAGTGGAGCGTGAACGATGTTTCTGACACCAGTGTGAATTACTGTTACTCATCATAGCCAATCAGCTACCTGTACACGGCATCACCTCTCTATACTTCTTATCGTGTGTTGATATTTGTCTTTTTGTTTCTGTTCAGTTTGAATGCACTGCTCTCAGCCCTGTGCCTCACTGTATTTTTACCCCAGGTGACCCCCCCCCCCGGACTCCTCGCTTAAATTAAGTTTTAGTTTTCTTCGTTGTGATGGATTCTATTTATACATAGATGGTTTTTATATTTGGTATGTTCTATTATATCTTAAAACTGTGTCTGCTTGTATCAGACTGAATTCACCCTTTGCCATCAGCCACATTTCAGTGTCTTTTTTTGTTTTTCTTCATCATTTCAAGTCGCCCGTTTTATGACATCGTTTGTTTATCGAGCAGACAGCGACGTCCTCAGATGAGCAGCGTAGTGACCCCCGTAGAATCTCATGAGTACAGAATCCAGCTGGGCACTTTGAAGCGTGCTGAGTGCTCAGCGGAAAGTTTTGTTGTGTTTGACGATGGACGCAAGCAACTATTTATCTCTCCCCCTCACCTGGTCGCTTCAGTTTCAATAGCAAGAGCAGAAAGATGAGATCACAGTAACAGAGGTTTTTTGTCACACATGTTCAGTGAGGTGGATGGGACAGTAAGAAGGAGGGACGAGTGATGGGGTCTACACGGTGCATTTTAACCTACAACATGACAATCTGATGTAGATACGGTGTTAGTTTATACTATCAGTCAGAGTTTAAGATGGTTTCCAGCTGGATTCTGATGCCACCCGCCAATGATTATTGTCTTTAAAGGTCACATATCCGCCTCCTCTTCAGTTTAAATAAGTCTCAGAGCTCCTCAAAACATGTGTGTGAAGTTTCTTGTTCTAAATCCACTCTGATCCTGTATTTGATCCTGTATTTGATCATGTCTATAAACCCCCCTGCTCAGAACAGGCTGTTTCTGTGTCTGTATCTTTAAATATGTAAATGAGCTGTGTCTGACCACGCCCCCTCTCTGGAAGGGCTTGGTTGTCTTGGGCTTTTTCGCTCCATGTCCTATTGTTTACAGTGAGAAGGCAGACTCAGAGGGCAGAACAAACACCTAGCTGTGGGAGTGTCACCCACCTGGGGGAGGGGCTACTGCCCTTTGTGATGTCATGAAGGGAAAATCTCCAAACGGCCTGTTTGAGCAAACATTTTCTGAAAAGTGGAGCAGGCAGAAGACGGAGAGGATGGACTTTTCTCATCATTGTGGGGTTTGTAGACAGAATAGGGACACATATTAGAGTTAGAGGAACAGGGTGGATTTTAGATAATTTGTGACCTTTAAAGATCAAGATTTTTTTGTGTGCAGTCATGTTGTTGGAAGTTATGATGCCGTCTGTTAAAGGAGCACTCGGCTGCCGAAGTTACCTTTTAGAAGAGGTACTTCTCTTCTGGACCATGTTGTTAAAAATGAAGACCCTGAGGGAGTCTAAGAGTGAGCGTGGCAAAATCAAAAACAAATGTTTCACATAAAAGGATCTCATGCAAAATATGGTCTTGTTGCATCATAGGAAATGTTGGTTTACTGACTAAGACCAGTGCACAGATGGGCACTGGTCTTATCTGTATCTGTTACTTGCAACTCATCCCATTTTATAAAAGTGCAAAACATTTCTGGAGTTGCCGACACAATCTGAGTTTTTATTTTATTGTAAAAATATATATGATTTGATCCTCAAGTGACTCTGAGTTGTTTAACTTCTGTTTGAACGAGTCAAAACCTCTTGGGAGATTCCGAATGTAAAAATATATTAGACTTGCAGTTTAATTTTTCAGAACTATTAAAGGAGCAGTATGTAACTCTGACACTTAGTGGTTAAAATGGGTACTGCAGTCTAAATTCTAAACATTGTAGAGAGACTGTCTCCCCCCCTCCTCCTCTCTAGAGTCGATGCTCACACAGGTCACCATGTGGTGGACACTGAAGCTTCAGTGTTTATCCAGCTCTGCATGGGTCTGTAAACCTTTCTGTGTTCTAACCTCTCTCCATTTTTCAAAAGCATCTCCAATATTGATCCTAGTTTGAGCACGTTTCTGCTCGTGGAGCTTATTAGAAACATGCAGAGGCTTTTTAGGTTGGGTACAATCACTTCTATCTGAACCACTTCTCTTGACCACTTCCATCGCTGCAACACCTGTTGACCTGATAACTGCTCTCATATCTGGAAAACAGAGGGGCGTCCAAAACGGCCGTGTGGGCGTGTCTTAAAAGCGCCTACCTTCTCTGGTCCAAACAAATCCAGAGCATTCAGGAGCAGAATCTAAAGTTAGAAGGAGGACATACTGGCTGCTGCATTGTTGTCAGAGAAGCCAGCACTTCAACATAGCATGTTTCCTTAATGTCTGATCATATAGGAAGATACCTTTATCACATCATTCTCTTACACATCTCACTGATTGGTCCTTTAAAGGGGTGTGGCCGAGTGAACCTGTAAATAGTCATTGATCTCAAGTTTCTGAGTTGCTTTGAAAATTGTTGCCGGAGAGGAATTGAGGCTTTGCTGCAAATGTCGTTGACACTGAAACGCGAGAGACAACAACCAATCACCTCAAGCTGCTCATCATGTTTTTGCGCTGTCGTCAGTTTGTTTTTGTCCAATCAGAGAGAGGAATAGATTTGTTCTCGTCAGTGAAAACCAAAACGACCCTTACGGAGGTGGTACAGGTGTTAGTTTGACGAGTGTGTTCAAAGGGACAAAAGAGCAATATGAGGGACGTGAAGGGTCCGTGTCTCTGTGTCATTCCCTGTGTTCAGACTCTTCATATTGTTTGTGTATTTACAATCAAATGACTCTAACTTTGCTTCATTATGGGAATCAATCTGAGTCCACTACATCATTATTATTCTTTCAGACGGGATCAACTCATGTACAATCCAACATATTTATTTTAAGATGTCACTGTCACTGCGTCCATTTTTCATTACCATCAGTTTGACCACATGTTTGAGTTGACTTGTGTGACATTTCACCCGGTCTCATCTTTCTTAAAGTATTTATTTTATGTACTGTAAGCAGGGGCGTGTCCAGAGAGGTGGACTGGGGCGGCATAGCCCTTTGAAATCTTATCGGCCACCCATGGTGCCAAATACAAAACCCTTAAGTATGATTGGCTATTTGCCCTGTCAGGAGGTGGGACTTATGTTAAAATCCACCAATCAGGCTGTAACGCAACAGGCGGCTCATAGTTCTCAGTGTGCAGATTTAAATTGTGACTTTGGGCATCCATGTTGTTGAAAGTCGATGAAGAATATGTTTGTTTGTGTTACTTAAAAGTCGATGTGATCAGTGCAGACAGAAGGGGATAAATAAATCTGAATGATCTTCATTCATGTGTGCACACAAACTGCAGAGGGCAGTGCCCCAGTTGCCCCCCCCCCCCTCCAGTCCCAAAGTGTCTGAACACGCCCCTGACTCTAAGAAACCTTTTCGGAGTTATTCTATGACACATTGTAAAAGATGTTCAGAGACATGTCGAGTGTTCTTTAGTATTTTTGTTTAGAGGAATATTTAAAGGTATTATAGGAGAGAGTATCGAGGAAGCAGAGGAGCATTTCCTCTTCTTCAACCTCTCGCTGTGACTTTAGTGCTGTCGGGTGTTTTTCTAGGCTCCTCCCCCCAGTAGCTGTGTGTGTGTGTGTGTGTGTGTGTGTGTGTGTGTGTGTGTGTGTGTGTGTGTGTGTGTGTGTGTGTGTGTGTGTGTGTGTGTGTGTGTGTGTGTGTGTGTGTGTGTGTGTGTGTGTGTGTGTGTGTGTGTGTGTGTGTGTGTGTGTGTGTGTGTGTGTGTGTGTGTGTGTGTGTGTGTGTGTGTGTGTGTGTGTGTGTGTGTGTGTGAACCTACACTCGTATCACTGTGTTGCATTGTCTCCCCTCTGAGTAGACGACAGAGTCAAAGCGAGGAGTTCCTCTTAGGTCGCAGCTCTGTACTGCCATTTCTCTGCCTGGTGTTTTACGTACAGGCCACTAGAGGGCGCTGTTTGAGTGTGTAACACGACGCTGCACTGAGCAGGAAGGTTAGAGCCTTTTGTTTCTGCTGTTTGATACATTCCAGTACCTCTGAAGGTTTAGCTCACAGGGAGGCATGAGGGACAAACGACCACTTTAAAAAACCCTGATTGTCTTTTTTTTTGGTTTCATGGCACGCCGAGGCAGAGACACACCTTGTGCCATTTTCAAATCAAAAACAGTGCCACTTTACTGCCCAGCCAGGTCCTTCTTTAAGGAATGTATGGGAGACATGTCTGTCCCCCACATATTATAGCCTCTCCTCCCCTCCCCTTTCTATTATTTTGTGCTTATTCCGAAGCTGTTTCATTTCACTATATTCTTCTTCTTCTTCAACTGTGCAATGCTTTGTGTTGAGTTGTACACTTGTCCAGGGAAACGTTGTATATTCTTTAACGGTGAAATGTGCTTTGCCTTGGTTCAGAGAAAAATTAAAGATATGGAAAAAGATATCATGTGGTTGTCTGTGTGTGTGACCTGGTGTCTTCCCTTTTTGTCTTCTTCCCCATTTTGAAATAGATATCTTGTTGATTTATCCCCCCCCCTTCCCCCCTCCTCTCTACAGGCTGAATGATGTGACTTTTACTTCTTTATACGGGGGGTAGATTTCAATCTCTTCATACAAAGGTCAGCAGATACACCTCAAGACTTTAACCTGGAAGTACGTCACTGGGGATTCTGCAGACTTGTGGCACCTCTTGAGCTGTGAAGTGAAACGCAACCCTCAAGGTGAAAACCATTTCCTTTCTGAACACTCATGGTGTTTCTCTCTCTATCTGACGCCCCCTAAACATTAGTCATTTGTACACTAAGCCCTGGAGCCTCTGAGTGAATCGGCCTAGGAGCCATTTACAGAGAACTCTTATCAGAACAAGTAAGAACATGGAAGTGAAGGTAACATGAGGGGACGCGCTCAGAAGGGCTGAAAAAAAGAAGAAGACAGATTAACACACAGGAAGTAGGAAGTGTGATCTGCGATTATCTCTCCACTTTGTGTGTGTGTTTGAGTGTGTATCAATGTGTGCAGTGTGTACGTACGCTAGTGTGTGTGTGTGTGTGTGTCTGTGGGGTTGTAGGTGTGAAATGAAACGTTGACCTGTGTTATGAGTGAAGGACAATGTCTCTGAAACTACCTCGCAACTGGGACTTCAGCACCTTCAAGGCTGAGACAGCTCGCATAGGTAAGTGTGTGTGTGTGTGTGTGTGTGTGTGTGTGTGTGGGCCGTGCTGCGTTTACTGTCTGCACTGTGAATGACAGACGCTCCTCTCTTTTACAAGTCCAATCTGTTGTCAAAAGATGTGTAACTGAACGACTACAAATCCTTATTTCACAGGAAACTAAAGACTTTCAAAAATTTATTTTTCCACTTTTCTGCAAGAGTTTTGTTTGTTTGCATCTGTTGTAGTCAGAATAACTGCAGTCTTTTCTTTTTTTTTAAAGCATAAACAGGCGTAAAATTAGAGAGGCAAATCAGTTATTTATAGGTGGCTCGTTCTGCACTTCACTTCCTCAGTGTCGGTGTGAGAGCATGTCGGTGGCTTGCTCGCTACGTGGTCATGCTCACCAGAGTTGTTTTCAAGACAAATCTCAGTCCTCTCTAATCCAAAAAGGTTGACGTTGAAGATTTCAAACTGTTTCAATTCATTTAAAAGGAGCTGACAAGATATCAAGCAGCTCTTTTAAAATGCTACCTGCAGAGGTCTAGACTTCCCCGCTCATCGCTGTTGGCATGAGGCTGAAATCATCGCAGAAACATGCCTTGTTCCCTCTCGGGCTAAAGATCGCACAGCAGTTACAACATTCAGATAAAATGTGTTTGA